CTTTGAAGGTGTGACGTGATGCAACGTGACACTTTCTCTCGGAGCCTCCACCACTGCCAGGCCGTTTCGCTTTCACCTTACCTCGACTTACACAAGGGATACGCGAACCTGCAGAACTCCCGTCCGCGACTGCCTCCCGTCGATCCATGCCATGATGGCGTAGATAGAGCCTGAATTTTAGCGGTCATCTACGACTCCAAGTCGGAGCAACGGCCCCGAACGCGACGTCTGAGGCTTCTCGGAGGCACGACTCGGACAGGACTCGCGTTCAAAGGAGCGACAGCCCCGCCTTATTGACAGACAATCCCGCGCAGAGGCCCCCGACCTCCTCATCTACCCTATCCTGACTCCTCTCCTCGAAATCACTCTGAAATCGTCTTTCGCTGCTGTCTTCCCGCTGAGCCGCAGTCAAAATCGGCACTTGGACGAGTTCTCCCCGCACGCACTTCTCCAAGGACTGGCTTCTCGCGCCGGTGGGATGCCCTGATTCCCCACTTTAATCCTTCCCCGCAGTTACTGTTTAGGCTCGCTCAATCTTTGACGACGAAGACGAAGACGAAGACGAGTTTCGATGCGCTGCGGCTGTCATACTCCAGTCTCCCTCCAGCCAACCTTCCGCGGTAATTTCTCTAGCGATCAAGAATGCCTCCCTCTCCTGCGTCGTACACCAATTCTTTCACTGCGAATTCCACAATATCGACGAAGCTGAAGAGCGTCGTGCTTCCCTTCTTGAGCTTGTTACACCTCTCCCACGCCCTCGAATATCTCCTTCTCGCCTCCCGCTTCTCCCAAGGAGCAAGAAAACGAAACGACCTATTCTACCCATTCTGCCATTCTGCAATCGCTTGCATAGACTGTTTCGCTCCGCCCCTCAACGCTTCAAGCTTCAAGCTTGTTTTGTTTCGCTGAACCGGCGTTCCCTGTCTTCCTCGCATATGCCCCTAATATCAATATCCAGACATTTGACGCCACATTCGGTGGTGCTGGACTTCTTCTCGACGATACCGCTGCCGAAGTCGTTCTTCGGGTGTCAGTGATTCAGATGCCCTTTCCAAGGACCTTTGTATCGTGGCTAGGAAGACTCCTCCTTTCTTCCTGCTCGCCAAATCGTCGGATCCCCTCCCTCATCCAATCCCTCCAATCCCTCGCCCTGCATGAACTAATGGCATCGCCGATGCGCTCACTGTGCAGCGAAATCATCCCCGGGCGTCGCTCGGCTCCTCGATGTCGGGTTCCGCAGAAAGTCGGATCCGTGGGAGGGTCGGGCCATGGTCGGGTCGGGCCTGACCCGACCCGCTTACAAATGCTGTGGGACCGGGTCGCGACCCACAATCATAACATATACAAACATCTGCGCTGGCACTCTTCCTGCCGCTGTCCGCTGGTTCTCCCCCCACAAACCCCACTCTGCATCCCGCACGCGCAGGGACTGCGCTTTCGTGGCTTGCTGGGCATGCGCGGCTCGCAGGTGTTCATGTCTGCCCCACTCCGTCCGCCGCCGCCGCCTTCCACAAGTCCGCTCGCGCGCTCTAACCCAGGCTGCCCCGTGCACGGTGCTCGCACTGTACACCTCCCGCCGCGACTTGAGTTCAATACTGAGTCACTACCGACTACCGACATACAGCCGTTCCTACGCCTGCGTCAAGCTCGACTAGTCCTCACTGTGCCCTTACTCTGCACTGCCGCTCTGCTTTTACAATGCTCCCGGCCCCTAATCTACCTACTCCATGCACATCACTGCCCCTAGACGTGTGCCGTGAACCTCGAGCGTCCCACTCGTGCTCACGTCATTGACCGCCTGCAGCCACCCTCCGTGTTCTGCTTCCGTGCGATCACGACGGATTTTCCCACTCCACGTGAGCCTAGGAGAGAATCTGCGGGCAGCCGCGCAAATTCTTGCTCACGATTCCCGCGCGACTACGACGCGCCTGCGCGCGCTCGGCGGACTTACCCGCTTCGATGCGCAGCACAGGGCGGGGGGGCCGGACGTTTGTTGGGGACGTCCCGGCTCGGCGTGAAGGACAGTCAGCACCATTGCCCTCGCTGTCCTTCCGCGCAACTACCATGCGCCGGCAGGTTTTTCCCTTCGATTCGGGGAAGCATGCTCGGAGTCGAACCGCTGGAGCCTCGCGTGCAGCTCCGCGGAATCGGGGCCGCAGCGACTCGCCAACGACCGCGAGGACTTTGCACTGTGCAGATGCGCCCCAGTCTCGACAGACGGCGGGTGGCCGGGCGAATTGGGAGCCCCGCGGAGCGCTTGCGGGCTATACGAGCATCCCCCAGCATCATGTCCTGCTTCACTCGGCGGCGGTATATTCCAGCAGCTGTGTTCATGCAAGGGTTGTGCAAGGGCAAGGATCTGCTTTGAGCCTGGATCCACTTGGGTGTTTTATATCGAATCTAGGATATGGTGTGTGAGTTGAGAGCAGGCAGAATAGATAATAAACTCCAACCTGCTGAAAGGCTGGGACATTGTGATCAAGATGATCCACAGTTACTCACTGCCAAAGAGAGAGCAGGCAGAATAGATAATAAACTCCAACCTGCTGAAAGGCTGGGACATTGTGATCGGGAACATCCACAGTTACTCACTGCCAAAGAAAAGCATAAGACGGTAGGCGGGCCGCGGTCGGGCCGGGACGCCGGCACAGCCCTTGCACTGCCTCTGCACCCCCCCAGGGTCGGGTCGGGCCCGACCCGACCCGACCCTCCCATGCCTCATACGTTCTCGGGTTCCGGGTATCGCTGGATGCATAGGGTTTCGAAGACGGTTCCGACGTTGCTTCGGAGAGGTGCACCTTGGACCGCCGGAGCAGTGCTGGCTTGATTTCAACCACTGCATACAAGGCTATGCCAATGCAGAGCCCAGCCTGATGGGCAGTGTAGCCGAAACAGTCGACTCGTCGTGTCTCTACTACTCATAGGTTTGGTCTCATCGTTCATTTATTCAAGTCTACGTCCCAGAAGTCGGAGCCCTCAAATCTGAAGAGTAAATTTGGCGATAAATTGGCGATCAATTTACGTGCGTCAGTTGAAGTTCAAGACTACTAGTAGATAGGTAGTGCACCGGGATCAATCTCGGCTATCGCAGAGCCTCATTGCACATATGATAATGATGCGCCGACCCTTTGTTATTGTCTCCCTCTTAATCCCCTCTGCTCAGCATGGAGAACGACTCCCCCGCGGCCCCGCCCGCCCCACGCTCCGAGACCGACCTCCTCCGTGCAGACCTGCGCGCCCTCCAGCTCACCCTGATCGGCCGCGATGGGCAGCTCGCGCTCGTCACTCTGGAGCGCGACCACGCGCGCGAGGACGCGGAGCGCGCAGAAGCAGGCAGGACGGAAGCGCTCCGCGAGCTCGGCGCCCAGCGGGTCAAGCACACCGCGCTGAAGGAGCGGTACGAGAACCTCCGGTGCTACTGCCAGGCGATGTACGAGACGTCAAAGAAAAAAGTGCGCGCTGTGCACTGCTTCGGGGTCGAGCTCCGCTCACAGGGCGGCGTAGCGCAAAGGCGAGGGCGGGGACAGACCCCCGGGCGAGGAATGCAGGGAGCTGCCGCAGGCTGTGTGTGCCCTCTCTTTGTTGATCATGCAGGCCCAAATTATAGCGCTCCCAGCTCCCTAACGCGAACCCGATGCAGAAGGTCGAGGGCCAGGCTAGCAGCCCTGCGGACCGCGACCCGCACCGCAAGGCACGCTGAATGTCCTTACCCTAGTTTGCGGAGGATTGACCCACATCCAGCTGTCCGCAACGATCGCGCGCCGCGATTCAGAACCAGAGGCTAGCATCGCTCTCCTGCTTACCCCGGTGGACGAGCGCGACCCCAGGAAGGTGCGTTTCTTTCATCGCTGGACGGAACAAAGGCTAACGTCCGTCTACCTGCAGCGCCTTAAACTCGACCCCTCGGTGGTGCCCTCTCGCTCGCCAGTAGCGGCTGACGGCAGGTCAAGTCCACCGCCGTCACGGCCAGACCAGCCGCGCTCTGTGTCGGTGGGTGGAGGTACCATCGGCGGTACTGGTTCTTACGCATCACCGTCAACCCAGGTCCCGCCCGCGGATGCGGCACTCAAGACGAGCTGCGTGTCGTCGCGCCCTGCGCCGATCCCGCTTCCGAGGCGCCCCTCATTAACCAAGGCCCCGCCGCCGCAGGCGCCCCCGGACCTGCGCGCCGAGCCCGTGCGATCGAGGGCATCTCATTGGGTGCGTGTTCCCCCCATGTCATTCCGCTCCCTCCCCCATCTCCCGTCTCTTCCCCACTATCTCCCTTCGAATGCTGAACGTCTAACATCTCTTGTGCGCAGTCCCCCCCGCCCCCGCCCTCGAGGTCATCTCATTGGGTGCGTGTCTTCCCTACACCCTTCGTCTCCCTGTCCCGGATCTACCCCCTTGTTTCTCCCCCCTGTCCTTTCGCCATCTCCCCTGGACTGCCGAACGTCTAACATCTCTTGTGCGCAGTCCCCCCCGCCCCCGCCCCGCGACCGTGACCACGAGCCCGACGCCCCGCACCTCCACCCCCACCCCCAGCGCGCGCCCTACCCACCGCGCACCGCCTACCAGACCGCCAGCCCGCCGCAGAGCCCGCGGAGGGGCGCGGGTCCCGCCGACGCGGACAGAGACCGCCGCACGCGACGGCCGAGCGCGCACTCGGGCTCGAGCCCGGATCCGCATGGCATGGGCCCCAGCGCCGATATGAGTCTGAGCGCAAGAGCAGGTGGCGGCCCGCTGTGGAAGCGGATATCGTTCTGATGCGCTGGCTTGTCTCGCTCGTCTTGAGGTTGCACGATGTTGGGGGATGCAGGTACTTATGGTTGCCTTCCGATTTAATAATATCGCTTGTAGGATCATGTAGTTCTATCATGTACGTTGAATGGGTGCGCGGCTTTCTACACGAGGTTGGCATGGCCGTTTGACTGAAACCGCAACGCAAGGGCCCCTCGGAGTACATACGTGGTTGAAAGGACCCGGGACGGTCTGGGGAAGGAGCGATGAAGAAAAAAAGATGGCCATCGTGGGGGTCGAACCCAAGACCTTCGCGTAATAGACAGAGGCAACTCCATATTAGCACGACGCTCTAACCAACTGAGCTAGACGGCCATGCTGCATCCTCTTTAATCTCCACCAATGATAGCGGACTCGATCGTGCGGGCATGGTCGCTTTGATCTACGGGCGACTGCGCCCCAAATTTCGAGCGCTCGCCGCCAGGCAACCCTATGGCCATTATCAAACCGAACCTAGTCAACCGGACACCCACAGTGCATTGTAGCTCCCCACCTCCTATGTCTGGTATGTTTCACGAGCTCTACTATTATGACAGCGCCCGCCGCTGCCGTTAGTTTGGGTCCTGTGGGAGCAGCGTGACTGTCAGTGTGTTCGTATCATATACGATATAGGTGACGCTGGGCGAGTTTGATGATTGACTCTACCCTCAACACAGCTTGTAAGTTGTGGTTGGATCAAGGTTGAATTAAGTTCACATCGGGGATTCAACCGTTGCGGCGTTGCATGGCGGGGATGGCGATCGAAGCGGTTGGGTGATCCTATGCCGTGAGTGTGTCTTCTATAGGTCCCCATAGGCACCTCTAAGTACCTACACTTGCGCAATATGTAGATTAGATTTAGGTTGGGCTGAAGCCTGAGTCACTCAGGCTGAGTGCCAAGTTGGCCAGCCTTTTGACGAAAAGGGGAATCATTGCGGGCGGGCTATGGACTTCCCCCGAGATGTGCTACATCCAAGCTCAACGTATGTGTTCATTGTACATTCACAGAGTATCTTCTTTGTTACAGATTCAAACTTATCTCTTGAGTCACGAGCGATTTCCTGTCACAATGGTGGTCCATTCCCACGCCCTCCCTTAAAAGGCTGCCAATTTCTGTTTCTCCTTTCCCTTCTACTCCACAACTCCCCAGCGACGCGCTGCTTTCTTCTCACTCAACCCGATGGAATCCGAGGCCTCGCGCTCAGCGGCAGACACTCTGCGAGGCGAGCTGCGTGCTTCGCAGATCAACGCGCTCGCCCTCGAGGCGCGCATCGCGCTGCTTACTCTGCAGCTCGCCCACGCGCAAGAGGACAGGGCGCGCGCCGAATCCAGCAGGGAGGAGGCGCGAGAAGAGTACCGCACACTGCGGGGAAAGTACGAGACCGTGCGAGACAAGTACGAGGGGCTGAGGCGGGTGGGAACGGCGCAGGTGCGTTGGTGCTCGCTCGTGTGCTAAAGAGGGAAAGCTCACGCTGATCGACAGGTCAAGAGGAAGGCCGAAGAAGGCGAGGGGTGTCATAGTCCACAGGTGGGTTCCTTGCGCGCTCTACTTCGGCGGCGGCTTACCTTCAGTTACAGGAACATGACGCGCTTCAGGAGGGCGAGCTGCGGAGCATGGTGCGCTTGCCGCGCCCTCGCCGTGCCCAGCCCAGCTTACCCGCCCCCAGATGAGCACCGACTCGCTGACGAGCAGCATCGGGTACCCAGACTCCAGCCCTACATTCCCGCCGCCGCCAGCGCAAATGGAGCGCGATCCACGCAAGGCGGGTTATCACAATCCCCTCTAGTCTTCCTTCCCTGCAGCGCTGACGCCGTTCTGCAGCGCATCAAGCTCGACCCCCGCCCAAGCACGAGCGCGAGCGCCCCAACAGCGCCGCCCATGCGTCCCTCCCAGTCCGTACGCAGCGCCACTCCACCGCAACGCGATCATACCTAACGCCCTGCAGGCCCCGAGCGTAAGCACGCACGCGGCACACGCCCCCGCGCAGACGCCCACGCCGAACTCGACGCCGCCGACGCGCTCCATCTTGCTGCCTGCGAGCGCGGACGGCAGCTTCGCCCACGCGCCTCCGAACGTGCGTCGCCGCTCTTCACGATCTAACAGCGCTAACCGCCACGCAGGGCGCCCCATTCTCGGCCTCCCAACCCCAAAATCAACCCCAGCACCAGCCCTACCACCACAAGCCGGCCGCGTCTGCGCCCTTCCAGCTCGCACGGCCGCCCTACATCAGCACGGGCACCGGCACAGGCGCTAAGGGGCCAGGAGCGGGAGTGGGTGCGAACGCGAACGCGAATCGGAACCGCAGCGCAAGCGAGTGCGGGCGGGCGGGGCGGGGCGCGAGTGCGAGTGCCAACACGACGAATGCGGGGGTTTAATGCGAATCTGAAGCGGGAGGAGGCGCAGGAGGAGGTGCGCCGAGTAAGGGCAAGGATTTCTTTCCGATTTGTCGGCGGATGGGTGGATAACTTAGATTTGTATGATATGTAGGATATGTATTAGGATATGTAGGATATGTAGCAGTAGGATACGGCGATCACGATAAGGGTTACAGTATGTAATAGGATGGGCGGGGTTCGATTTGTATGAGAGCCTTCGCAGTTTCTAGTTTGTGTATATTGTAGGGGTGTGACAGGTAATAAATGTACAGTAAATGTAGTGTTTCTTTCCAGGTTGAACTCGAAGCCATGAAGCTTAAGGCGGCGGCAGCGGGCGTTCTGCGATGAAAGGCGTTGATCACCTGGCATGCATTCAGAATTCCAATAGTTAGAACGTACCTGAAGTAACCTGAACCAGGAGCTCTCGACCGGACATTCCCTACCGAGAACGAAACGGAACGAAACGAGATATGTACAAGTCTCAAGCATCTACAAGACTACAATACATGTCCATCCGACCTATAGCTATTCCTACATATTTACATTTCCGAGCTGAGATACAAAGCGAAAATCATACAAATCAAAAGGGAAACCGCTCTCGGAACTGCACCTTATCGCCCGCGCCCGCGTCCGCCCCCAGCCTGGGTCTGAGCCGGCCCCCGACTCCTGCTCGCGCTCCCGCTCCGACTCATCTCCCCCGGCCGATACCGGTCCCCCTCCCCCGCCGAGCGATGCCCGTTCCTCCTTGCCGCGTTCGCGTTCGAGCTCAGGCTGCGGTCCGGGTCCGCACTCCTGCACAAGGCGTACGGCATCAGACTGGGACGCCCGGGCTGGGTCACGGTGGCGGGTTGCAGCGCGTGCGGCTTGGGCTTGGGCTTGGGTTTGGGGGGCAGGCCTAGGGGGGCGCCAAGTCCGAGGGCGGGGCCGAATTTGAAGGACTTGAGGGCTGGCCTTAGGCGCGCGAGTTGGAAGGACACGGACGCGCGCGCGGGGGATGGGGGTGGGGGCTGGCGGGGCGGTGGGCCCGGGGGTGGAGCGGGCACGGCGTCGGCGGCCTGAGGCTGAGTGGATACGGAGTTAGTTTGTGGGTGAGGGGGATAGAGTCTAAGACGGGGAGCGGCGGGGGCGCGTTCAAGGAGGAGAGAAGGGAGAAGGGAGAAGCGCGAAGCAATAACTTAGAGGTAGACGCACATGGGTGTCGGCGAGGTCCGCGTCCGCCATCACAGGCAGTGGAACGAGGCGCGTCGGCGGCGTCGGGTCCGGCGTGGGCGGCTGCGTCGGCGCGTGTGGAAGAACGAGCGTCGGGATAGGCGCCTGCCACGCGACGTTAGCTTGTGGTGAGATATATAGTCGCGGTGGGATGCTACGCACGAGCGATCCATTTGGACGCGTAGGGGCCGTCAAGGTGGGATCGCGCATGATGCGCTGTGGATGTATCGTTAGGCGGTCGAGCGCAGAGGATCAAACGTTGGACGTGCCGAGCGGGGGTCGCGATCTTGCTCTTGCTCTTGCTCCTGTTCTTGTTCTTTTTGCGGGGACGCTAGAAAGAGGGGGCTCGCGTCTTCAGATTGTGGGTATCGGTATCGCAGTACGGGGTCGCGTGTCGGCGAGCTGCTGTCCATCTGGCGTCCGATGAGACAGGCGTGGCGAAGACAAAGGAGAGCGTACCTCGCCGTCCGGCGCTGCCTCCCGCAGGGAGCTGTTTTCCTACAATGACCTTGGTAAGTCACCGCTGGAAGTGGAGGGCGCAACAAATGCACCATAGACGTCTGCGCCACAGCGGGACTGCGATACTCCCCGTTCTCTCCAGGCTTTTCCTTGATCTGTCCACCAAGCGCTTCAGCTGTCCCCCTCCGACAAGCGGGCCAGAGACAACGTACCTGGCCCGAGCTCGCCCCCGTCCCCGCCCGCCTCAGCTCCTCGTACTTATCCCGTGTCGTCTCGTACTTGCCCCGCAGGAAGGCGTACCGCGAGCGCATTGCCACCGTGCCTGCCTCAGCGCACTTCTTGTCCTCGTGCACGTGGGCGAGCTGCAGCACGAGCAGCGCGACGCGCGCCTCCAGGGCGAGCGCGCCAATTTGCGAGGCGCGCAGCTCGCCGCGGAGCGTTTTCTACCGCCGACTCGGAGCACGCCGATGACGATGTCTCAGCGTTCATCGCGTTCAGGTTGATAGAAAGCGACGCGTCGTTGTGGAGGTTGGGTGGAGGGTGGGAAAGGGTGGGGGTTCGGAACAAGCCTCATTCATCACATGATAACCACGTGCTTCGAGAAAATCAAAACTAACAACTTGAACTTAAGTTCGAAAATGTCCCTCCTAAAAGAGATTCGAAGCAACCTTGTCTTCAAGCCGTTAAGCCGGAGACTCTCGGAAAGTGCGAAGCGGAAAATAGCTTGTTCGGAATCTACTCCTGCACGGATTTTTTCCAACATCCATCACGTGATAGATGTTCGATTTCTCGAACAAGTATATGTCTACTCCGAGTCCGATCGCTGGCATCTCTATCATCCCCGTAGCAGACCTGCCGATCAAGCACGATCTCTCGCCGTTCAATGCGTAGTGCGACAGGGCCGGTAATAGCGGGTGTCCACAGGGCTTTGAGCAGCACCTGTCAAACCCACTTGATAAGCTGAGAGTTCAAGTTGCTCCGCTCGCTCACATGAGCTCCCACTGCTCCCAAGCCATTTAAGCCAGGGGCAGCTCAAGCAAGTATATCGGCTCTTGTCCTACATTCTGGGTGGTGTGGAAAGCGGGGAGAGCCGGACCATGTTTGGACCGTCAGACGCCCCGTGGTTGCATCGCCCCCGTTTGGACTCAACTGCATGGCCGTCTAGCTCAGTTGGTTAGAGCGTCGTGCTAATATTATCCATGGGTTCTTTGATACGCGAAGGTCTTGGGTTCGACCCCCACGATGGCCATCTTTTTTCATGTTGGTCCTCCTCATGCCTCATTGCTATCCGGGTCCTGTCCTGGACCTTATCTCGAGCCCATGACCCTTCCCTTCATGGGTACTGGCACAAATTCAATCAAGTGGTGCCCTAAACAAGTGTTGGGTAATGAGTTGATGAGACAAAAAAGGGGTTGGTTGGTTGGGGTCCAGATAGTATGGTATATATATATATCGATGAAGTAGTATACTTCAGGTCGAGCACACCCCGTTGACATATGCGATGACCTGTGCGACGGTGACCCCGTTAGCGGCGAGGGCGTTGGAGATTTCGGGCTGCCCCGCCATCTGCACAATGTGCGTAGGAGTGAGCTCAGCGCAGTGGGCCGAGACGTAGAGCTCCTGATCAGTGGGCGCGCGCTTCGCATAGGATGTAAGGAGTTCGCGCGCGGCGATGCCCTAAAGTTGTGTTACGTCAGGCCCGAGTCTGCGATGAGAATAGAGCGGGGCGCACCGAGGACGCGCGGGGCGATGCGCGGGCAAGCGCGAAGAGGGCGGTGGCAGCGACGAGGGCGAAGAATCTCATGTTGAATGTAAGGGGTTGAGGAACTGCCAGGTGCTGTGAAGTGCGTTGAGATGGAAAATATGACAGGTGCGAGGGAACGTACTGGGTAAGAGTGGAAAGTGGGATGGATGGAGGCGGATGGGTGCGGCAGGGTAATGCGTATGCGGCGTGTTTATATGGCTGGAGGGGAATGAGACAGGAGCCTCGATTGGCAGGCGGGTACGATCGAAATAAAAGCTAACACTCTTATAATTATGAACCAACATGGTCCACATTCGATCTTCCTCTTCCTTTGATGTGCGGAAGAACTAGGACTGGCGTTCCGCTGAAGTCTGGGGGATTTAACATAGTTTCCGTCGGCCCGACTCGTGAAATTGTCCTCGAACAGCCCCTCTCAGACCACAAGCCCCATTCAGTCATGTCGATCCCCCCTGGTCTCCCCATATTTTCCGAGCTCGATAAATTTCCCGACGGTCCGGGCGTACGGTGTGTAGCTGAAGGCTACGGCGGTAAATGGATACTGGAATTCCAGCCACGAAGCAGGTTATCGACTTCAGCATGTTGAGAGTCCTTCCCCACAGCCCCTGGAAAACATTTCAGATCCTGTAGAATTCTCTGCTTCTCTTTGCATCTCGCCATCCTCAGGTCAGCCCAGTGACTTTCGGTTGAGCCGAACTAGAATGGGTACTGTAGTCGGCGTCGCTTGTGCATGAAACGAAGGATTTTTCTTCGTTGAACTGGCCCTGATGAGGCATCTATAAATTTTCAGAAGCGCAAGCTGATGAATGCCGCAATCTGTGCGACACCAATGTATCTCGATAACTCTTCGGATTTTCGGGTTGGTTGCGGCGGCCCCGGTTGCCCCCTGATGCGGATGCCGGTCGATCCGTGGTTCAGAAGCCCCAGCTTCTTCTGCTTTTGAGACTTGGCTTGAGGATAGGCTCTATGAAAGAGATTAGGCATTACTATTATCACCTCGCGCTTGCCAGTGAGTCCTATGGGGATCCTTAAGGCCCAACTTCAACCAAACCTCGAAACTCTGTTCATCCTTAAGTTTCAACTCAGGGCGGCTGCTTCCGTCAGGCCCTGACGCTGGGCATCGTGGTTGACCTAACTGGAAGCGGCGGAATCATGTGAAGATCGCTACAGGAGAATCAGCTCAGTTTGATTCGAGTTTGATTCGAGATTAAAATTGAACTTGACTCGACCAGTCACCATACGACTGTGTACCGGACATCTCCGGATGTCACGTGGACGAGGCAGTGTCCCCCTCTTGATGGAAGACCACCATGTTCTCGCCGAGTCGACTCCGCTGCTAGCTCAGGACGCCACCAATCTTGATCCTCTCGGTGTCAAATATCTACTCGTTCAACATCTCTCCAGGTCGTCCTTACCGCTTTGCTCCCGCCTCCACTGACTCGGACTTCGGTGATTTTAGTGCTTGGGGCGACAGAACTGCTGAATTCGCCCTGTACTTGTATCTAATCGCATTCTTCAAAGACACGCTACTCCCTTCGTCCATCTTTGGCTTCTCCATGACGCGTACGGACCTCTTCGACTTTTCTTTCTAGGGGCTGAAACTGGGACAGTCACTGGAATACTGTTCTCGAGGTGGGCTGGGTCCGTCGTCGATAAGAACCCGAAGCTCCCCACCGTGCAGTGGGCCATAATCATTCAAAAATCCTCGGCGCTCTGCGCATACGCGTGTGTCGCAGGCCTGCGCTCCGTGGGCGACCGATTTTCCGCGCCGTCGTTATTCATCTTCTCGGTGCTTGTCCTGGCCGGATGTGCGCTTCAGCTCTCGAACACATGCCTATCGATTGCTGTGGAACGCGACTGGACGACGTGTATCTCCGCAGGCTCGTCGCTCCGACTCGGAAAGCTCAATACATACCTGCGGCAGACCAATCTCCTTTGCAAGCTGCTTGCCCCGCTGTTCGTGTCGTTCCTGACCGTCACATACGACGATAGGGCGGACAGTCCCATTCGCTCTGTCCCGATCCTTGCGGGCATTTCTGTGCTGACCCTGGTCTTCGAAATGTACTGGATCCGGATCGTCTACGCCCGGTTTCCAATGCTCGCCGCGGAACAGCAAAGCAACGACGCTGCGCCGCGGATCTCCCCGCCGGCAGACGCATTCTCTATTTTGCACCTTGGCGACTGGCAGGAGTTCGTGCGCCTCCCCGTCTTCCTCTCCTCCCTCTCAATCTCGCTTCTCTACCTCACAGTCCTCTCGTCAGTCCGCGCACCGCTCCCTACTGTCAGCGACTAACCCATAACAGCTTTGAGGGCACGATGCTCGGATACCTCAAGACGCTTGACTTCCGCGACGACTTCCTTGCGACGATGCGCGCGCTCTGCGTCGTCACCGGGCTACTTGGCACGGTCCTAACCGTTCCGCTCGAGCGCCGTCTCGGCTCCGCGCGCGCAGGGAGCTGGAGCATCTGGTGCGCCATTCCCTCCGCATCGCGCAAATCGCGCGTATCCTCCTCTGACGCGCCGCAGGTCGATGGTGGTGTGCCTTGTACCCGTCATGGTCTCATTCTACGTGCTCGGCCCGCGCACCGCCGCCGGCGCCGCGCTGCTTTTCGGCGGGATGGCGCTCTCGCGCATCGGGCTGTGGTCGTTCGATCTCATCCAGACGAAGCAGCTGCAGGACGCGCTGGTCGCCAACACGCGGCGCAACACGCTCACCGCGCTGCAGCTCACCATGCAGAGTACGGCTGACCTGCTCAAGTGCGCTCGTCTCGTCTCTTGGCCTGTGGCCCGGGCCTGATTCGGTCTTTTTAGATATGTATTGACGATGGCGTTCTCGCGGCCCGCGCAGTTTCGCTGGGCGGGCCTGGTGTCGTTCCTCAGTGTGTCTTCGGGCGCGGTGGTGTACCTTGCGTATCTCAGGAGGGAGCGCGGACATATATTCCACCCGCCAATGGAGTGGCTCCGGAAGATATTGTAGCGTGGGTTATATGCCATAACTCATGTGGGAAAATAGAACGCCGCGCGTTTACCTTTCCCAACCGCCCCCTCGATGTGCAGAAGACCGCCGGAATGTTGGTAGCTTTTTAAGCTTTGGTACGTCTGGATGCTGCCCTGCTCAAGTTAGTTCCAGATCATTTCAAAGCTTCAAGTGCCTCTCGATCCTCGAAGTCTCATAGCGATAGTGGCTGAGTCGAAACTTTGCCTTGGCGCTAATCTTCCTCTCTTCTCTGGCACAACGAGGTATCACCGAGGAGCTCGAAACTATCACCCCGCCATGGCTGGCAGGTTAGTCTCTCCTTGAATCCTGCACTCAGAATCTGAAACTCTAAGAGCCTCGTCCGCAGAATATCCGATAGCTGTGCGGTCGGTTTCCAACTTCCTTTATAATCATTCTACAGAATGATCAAACTCAATCAACACGGGACGGGGAAGATATTTATCCGGACTGCGATCATAACACGGCGTTTACAATGTTGTGCGCCATACGACTGTACGCCGATATTTGCCGCCCAAGTTCACACAGGAAGCACAGCGTGAGATTCTTCACAGTGTCGTTTGTTTTTCGTTGCACTTTCCGCAGAACGTTCTTGCCGAGCTACAGACTGCCTCAGACACCACGAATAAAAACGCGGATATCCATCACCTCGTGCCTCGGCCGGACCCACCACAACGGTCCGAACGCAGAGGCAAAGATTTATCACCGCTCTCGACCCCGCCGAACGTCACACTGAAGCTGTCGCTAACGGCTTCTTTTCCATTTGATGCTGCCTCATGGCCGATATAAGTCTCCTTCACCCCTTCTCTTCCAATCTTCCGCCTCCCAGCGCCCACATCTCCTCCAAACCTGTGCCATGCGTGGACTGCCCAAGAGAGGACCCGATGGAAGGCCTGTGTGGCCGGATAATGCAACAGCTGCGTTGCTTGAAAGCACGTAGCCGAACATATGATCATGTACGCCGCTAATTTCAGGGCAGGTCTCCCAACCTACGGCGGCATGGAAAAGCACGGGAAATGGCAGCTCATGGCACATCACATCTACAACAAGACCGGTGTTGTAGTGACTGCGAAGCAAGTCGGCAGCAAACTGCAATCCCTGCGGTCCACCAACCCCCTGCTGATGCGCGCGCACGCGTATCCACCCAGCGCGTCTCCGCCCATCATGAGCGCCTCCCGTGGCGCCGTGAGCGACGCGCCTCGTGTTCCCAACCGGCCCGAGATTAATCCTCGGTCCGTTTCCCTTCGCCCGGTGTTTTCCTGGGGATCCGACGGTAAGCATCTAGGATCGCACATATGTTGGCTCTCATGATATTGTCCGTGGTTTCAAGGCCACGGATCAGACGACGAGGGCGAACCCGCGGACTCTCGAATTTCGTCTCCACCACCAAAATGGAATGTCGCCCCCGACGCACGGGACTTGCACCGTTCGGATCTTCATTCGTCCCCACAGCTACCACCTCTCACAAACAACAGACCCCATAATTCTCACC